GTGAGTCAGGAGCCATGTGACAGGGAAGCCAGGGTCTGGAAGCAGGTGGAACTCCAATCGTGGACTGGCTATTGACATCAACGCGGCCCTCATCAGATAAGGAATCCTCCAGACTCGAACGCCTTCTGGGCAAATTCCTTAACCAACGCCCGCGCAGTATGAGTAAAGTTATGAGTCTGAGTTGGGAGTGAGTGGGAGGATGCGGAGGCGTCATACGAATGAAAAAAACACAATACTTACGATACGGGGAAGCAGCACGGAATTTGTTTCACAAGTTTCGGCATTCGGGGCCTGCGCCGGGACCTGAACCGCCAAACACGACTCGGGACGAAAAGCCGGCCCTGGGGGAAGGTTTCGCACTTCTGGGGGGGCGCATTGAAACAGAGAAGGTATCGGTCGTCTGCTTTTGCCCTAAGAGAACATCCACCTGCCCTAGGGCAGACCCACGTGTCGACTAGATCGCGCGCGTGCCTTCCCCAAGGGTGCGATCCGAGCATGCGGTGATTCGACATGGCTCAAGTTCGTATCGACGCGCGCCTGCACGGAGGCGACAAGAATGTGAGGAGATGACAGTGGAAAAGGGGAGAAGAAGTCTGAGGTCCCATTGCATATTCGGGGGACATTGTCTGCCCCCTTGCGCCGCCATCCGCGTTGAATCCACATCGAGGTTACGAATCCACGTCGAATATGCGTCAAGCCCACGTCGAATCCGCATCGAACCCGCGTCAGACACAAGAAGCCACCTACTCTTTTGCAAAACAGACAAGGTCCCCGAAAGATGCAACGCGAAGTACCGTAAAGGAGGGATTCAAAGGAAGCGCAAGCTTTGCACCCTCGTTGACCGTGCAGATTCCGCCGGTGCATTTGTGGCTATCCCTGCCATCACGGTCGAGCGGCGCACCTGTCTTCCCCTGTGCCGACCCCCGCGTCACGGCTCTGAGCGATGCGCCTATCTTCTGATGATGTTGGACGGGTCCCAGGATAATCGGGCACTCTGCTCATTGTCTCGATTGAGGGAACGAAGATTTCAAGGGAGGACGCATGATGAAGAGAGGAGGGAATCTCCAAAAGTCCCCAAAGTTCTCTGGAGGTTTCTGGAGGTTTTCGGAGGTCTAACAAACACCACGCCAAAACACAACACACTTTTTTTGCGGGTCGAGAGCGAGCCTCTTCCGGTTAAGAGCTAGGCGGGCCGCGCACAGCACTAATTGGGGAGACAGCACAGGCGGGCGGGGCCTCAGGCGGCTGGAAGGCGCGGGGTGCAGGCGGTGCTGAGGAGCTTGCATAGGAAAAGGAACGCCTTGGACAGGAGCCGGAGGCGAAGTCCCGGAGGGTGAGCGGTGTGGTTTTGCCGTCGACGGCGCATCGAAAACACCATCCTCAAGTGCTGCGTGCGGATGGACGTGAACAGGTCGACGTCCAGGGGGGAGAAGTCCACCATGAAGGCGATGAACAACGTTGTGCCACCAGATGGTGAAGACGGGCCCAGGAGATGAGGAGGACCACGAAGGCGATGTGCAGCGTTGTGCCACCGGATGGTCGAAAGCGGCCTGGGGTGGTAGTCCAATCCACGTCCAGGGAGCAATCCACCTAAACCCAACACACAGCACCTCGAAAAGCCCGGCATCAGCGGTTCATCCCGCGGTGTTCCGGCCCCAGAAATCAGAAAAACGCAACAACACAAAACCTGCAAGACCCCGTGCCTTCCACACCCCATAACCTTCATGGCGATCCGAGAACCTCGACCCCTACGCTTAGTTTCGACCCGAAGTTTCCATGGGAATCTAGCCGTAGCGATGAGAAGCCTCCTGGAGGCCATCGAACAAAAATTTAAAAGGTAGAAACGATCAACACACATCGAACCACATCCCTTCATGCGGGGAGGGTGGAGGCCACATCGAACCACATCCCTTCATGCGGGGAGGGTGGAGGCCCCGGCTACACGTAAGAGTGACACTAGGCGAGAGTGACCTTTGGTACGCGGCTTGCTGGCCGTGCTTGGGCTTGGCCCCGAAGCGCCCCCCGAAAGCCGCGCACCACAGGCCACTCTGACGCAGGGTCACTCTCGCGTTCAGCCGAGGCGCAGGCCCCTGCGTCGGCCAGCCGGGGCGCCTCCGACTCTATCTCCCCGCAGTCCGAGATGATGGACTCGAAGAGTGGCTTGCCAGACGGGGTGCCTCGCCGCGCGACCGCCGTCTTCGTCGCCGTCTTCGCAAAGAGCCGAAGTTCGAGGGTCGAGGCTCGAGGAGCGAGGGTTCGGACGCACACGTCCCCTTCTGAACCTCGGGGGGTCTCCAGAGGCCTCCGGGGGACCCCGCGGGGACCCCTGGAGACCTGGGAGGGCCTCCGGTCATCGTCGTTGTCCTCGTCATCGTCGTCCGCCCCCGCCGAATGCACCGAGCCGCTCGCGCGGCCCCCCCGCTGTCATTGAAGCCCATAACCCAAATTCTGTCTTTTTCTGAACGACCAAGACGAGCCGCAGAGACAACTGCCTCGACTGGCCATATGGGCGGACAGGGCAGCCTCTTTCGCAGACCCTGCTCGCCCCCGCCGCCTCGTGCAGCTACCACGGGGCAGCGCCAATCCCCCTTTTCCCATTCCCCCCCTCACTCAAGCGAGGACGCCGTGTGCAAGGCCGCGGACATGCGCATCGGAGAAATGAGCACTGTGGCTTACGAACACCAGCAGAGCTCGCTGCAGACCTCAAGGGAGAGGTCACTTGCCAACTGCGCGTCAGTTGGCAGAAGCATTTGGGTTGGCAGGCCCAAGTCCTGCAACTACTGAACCACACTCGGTGAAAAGAGATGTGACGACAGCGCGCCTTACCTGCTAGAGGCCAACGCCAACCACTGCGAGGGTCATACTCTTAGCAGGTTCGTCAAATTCTGCATCCGTGGCCACATGGCGAAGTCCGCAGAATGGGTTTCAAGGGCTGCCGGCGGGCACCCGAGGGGACCAGCGAGACAGAATGTTGGCGAGTTGTTCGGCGAATATCCCAAAGATGCGTGAAAACCGAATTCCGATACAGCGCGATCGGCGTGACACCTATCCGTACCACCCTCAAGAAGCCAAATGAGGGCGCTCCCAGTGCCAGCGATTGGGGCAGTCGACGCTCCTTCTACACCGGATTCTGATCTCAAGGAAGAGCTCGTCAGCATCATCAAGGGCCTCACTTCACAAGGCACCGCAAGGAAGAAAGAAAAACGTTGGTCAACCAACGCGACGCACTGAAAACAATGAGTGTCAGCGTGGAGCCCAAACAAGAGGTCATCGCAGTTCCGATGTGCATAACACATGTGACGCACTATGGATCGGTGGTATGCAGGCTTGCATGTGCGTGGCGCAATCTGCGTGATGAAATCCACCTTGCAGGATTTGAAATCGACAACTCCTCTGCTCGCGCAACCATCCCATCCTCCCACACGCGACTTGCTTTGCACAACCCATGCAGTTTCGATTGCAGCGTCTACTTTGTAATAGCTGGCGCATCTCTGCGGCTACGATAGCGCGCGCAAGCTCGCGCGCAGAGCGGCCCGTTGATTTGGCACAGCTGATGTGGCCACGATGGTGCTTACCGATGGGGACTTCTCAGCACGTCTCAAAAGTCGCGCTGGAGCGCAGGCACTTTAGTGCGGGTGGGTGACTCGGGAGGGCGCCATATCATGATGACGTCGGCAACGGCGGCAACGATGATGACAGTAGTCATGGTGGTGGCGATGATGACGATGACGACGACAAGGCCAATGATGGCGCCGGCGCTGGTGACGACGATAACGATGACGATGTCCGTGTGTCGGTGATGAAGGTGATTGGCTGATGATGGCGGCACTGGCGGCAATTGACGATGCCGATGCCAGAGGTGATGCGGTGCCACTGATGAGGGCGATGGCAAACACGTGTGTGCGCCAGGAAATGCATGAAACCTGGCAGACTCTTTGTTGGAAACACGTGGATGTTTCGATGTGATGTCTTGAAGTGATGCGGACGCCATGATTCTGGAAGGATTTCGACATTCGTGCGTAGCGGCGCGCGCGTGTGTGGCCCACATGGTGTTATTTGATACGGACTCGTGCACTGGGCGCATGCTAGATCAACGCGGACGCACCGCGTGGTGAGATGAGAGTGTGGTTTCCGGACGAGATTGCTAAACTCACGTGGCTTCCGCACGATTTAAGCAAATGCGCGCGGGCAGAAACTCAGGAAGACGCGTAAGGAAACACGTGGCTGTTTCGGTTTACCCAGCTTTGCATGAGCTCGTCTGCCGCCCTGGCCAGCTTGTTCTCGCCCCGTCGCCGCCCCGTCACCTCCTTGTCGCGGGCTCGTGTGCCGCCCCTGCCGGCTTGTGGTCGCCCCGTCGCCACCCCGTCGCCGCTCGTCGCCGCCCGTCGCCGCCTCGTCGGCTCCCGTCACCGCCGCCTCGTCGCCGCATTGCATTGCAATCGCACTGCGTTGCGCTGCAATCGCATTGCGTTGCACTGCAATCGCATTGCATTGCACTGCAATCGCAGTGCTCTGCAATCGCAGTGCATTTGCATATCATTGCAATCGCGTTGCAATCGCACTGCATTTCATACAACCGCATTGCATTGCGTTGCATTGATTTGCGTTGGCTGGTATTGCACTGCATAGCTTTGCATTGCTCCGCCTTGCTTTGCATCGTTTATCAGACCTTATACCACATAGCCGCCCACATCACGTAGATTGCACCACATAGGTTGCACAGTATAGCTTTCACCACATAGCCTGCACCACCTTAATTCCACCGCATAGCTTACACCACATAGCTCACACCACCTAGATCGAACAGCACGGCTTGCACAACGATCGCTCGCACCACATGGATCGCACTGCATGGATTACGCTTCTTAGGTCGCACCAAAATAGCTTACATCACATATATCGCACCACATGGACTGCCACACATAGATGGCACTACATAGCTCGCACCCCCTACATCGCGCCACTTAGATGGACTACATAGCTTAGACCACACAGCTTACACCGAGTAGATGAGAATGTTAGCTCCTACCAAATAGATTGTACCAGCTACCTTACACCACATAGATTGCAGCATATAGCATGCACGATCTAGCTTAACACCGCATAGCTTGCACCAGGGACATTGCACCACATAGCTTCCACCAAACAGCTTGCGCCACATAGATGGCCTCACCTCGCATGCTAGAAGACACTGGTTGGGGTCCACGCTGGCTAACATCATGTGGTTCATGTTGGCACGCTTGCAGAGCTTGCCTGTATGCTATGAGTTCGAAATGTGCGCGCGTGTGGACATTAAGCCATGTGTTGCAAGGAGTTCTTGGACAACAATGAAGTTTTGAAATGAAGCAGTGCACGCGCATGGTATTTTTTGACAGGGATGAGGGGGCGGGGTCGATACACGGTCGGGCAGGGCTAGTATGAATTCACTTGGAAAACGAACGATGAGGCAGAATCATATCAAACTGGACCATCCCAGGGAGTATCGATAACCCCAGGTGGGGGGGGTAGCGAGCCAACTTTCTCTTGAAAGTGAGAAAACAACTATGGTATAAGCTACGTGGCACAAGGTATGCGACAGAAGCGATGAGGCGCAACTCACGCATTGCAGCACCTGGAACGCAACTTATGTGGTGAAGGATATGTAGTGCGCGTCGATGTCTGCAGCGCAATCCGGGGGACGCCATCTAAGGGGTGCAATTGGTGGAATGGTATATACATTGGTTGTACGGCATGCCTTCACAACACAACATAGTTGACCACGCAGCTTGACAAATAATAGATTGCACCACACGCAGCACGCATAACAGAACTTGCAATGCATGGATTGCACATCGAGGGTGCAGTACCCTACTTGCTGGGTGAATGCTAGCATGAGAGATTTACAGCACCCGCACATACAATCAACAAGTGCGCGCCGCATGCTATTATTGCACAGGGCTGACGGGAGAGGGAGTCATACCGCGTTGGCTGGGATGGTACGATGTGATCACCAAGGTGGACGGCAGTGCAGAGTGAGGAAATAAGCTGGCGGGGTGGGGGGGGCGATAAATCTGGCCCCCGCACGTGGGTAGAGCTGATCTCCCTTAGGAGAAATGATCTACGAGATGCCTTCACGCATGCTGAACTTAAAGCCGTCAACCGCACAATTCGCACAAACATCCGACCCTCCCACCCGCAACTTGTTTGCTAAAACCCATTCGGTGACGACTGCTGCTCACGATTGGAACTTGCTAGCGCGTCTCTACGGCCGCACTATCGCGCGCACGCTCGCGCGCAGATCGACCAGCTAGTTTGGCACAACTGATGCGACCGCGATGGCGCCTACCGATTGGAACTTCCAGGGGCGTCTCGAAGGCTGCGCTGACGCGTCAGTGCGGGTGGTTGGCTCGGGCGGGCGCCACATCATGATGAAGCCGACAATGGCAGCAACGATGCTGAAAAAAATGATACCGGAGAAAAACCCCAATCATCATCTTTTAGGGCTGTAGGGCTATAGGGATAGATGGGCTATAGGGCTATTGGGCCATAGGGTAATAGAGCTACAGGGCTACAGGGCTATAGGGCTATAGGGCTATAGGGTATAGGGGTATAGGGCTGTAGAGCTATAGGGCTATAGGGTTACAGGGCTATTGAGCTTTAGGGCTATAGGGCTATAGAGCTATAGAGCTGTAGGGCTACAGGGCTATAAGGCTATTGGGCTATAGGGCGATAGGGCACCCCCGGGCACCCCTGGGCACGCCCGGGCACGCCCGGGCACCCGGGCACCCGGGCACCCGGGCACCCCCGGGCACCGGGCACCCAGGCGTGCCGCGAAAATCGGCGGCAAACCTAACCTACAGAGGCGAGCTCTGATTGGGAAACGACGGTGGTGGCGATGGTGACGATGACGATGGCAAGGCCAATGAGAGCGCCAACGCTGGTGACGACGATGGCGATGATGATGTCCATGTGTCGGTGATGAAGGCGATTGTGTTGATGATGACTGCCATGGCGCCGATTGACGAGGGCGATACCGGCAGTGATGTGATGGCACTGGTGGGGGTAATGAGGCAGTGCGCGCACAGAAATCCATGGAATCTGGCAAACTTGTTGTCGAAAAACATGTGGTTGTGTTTGAAGAGCCCTATCTTGAAATACTTCGGAAACCATGGTTCTGGAAAGATGTCAGCACGCGCGC